CTCTGGAAAAATCCATTAAAATGTTGTTGAAAATGAAATAAATGATGCCCAGTTGTTGAAAAGTATTGGCTGCTTCATGACATATAACCACAAAAATCAGGTCTAAAATACAAAGACAGGGTCTAAATCTCTGGGCGACCCCATAATAGATGCCATTTTTGCTTCTACGGAATCCTGTGAGGACCAAATGCATTTACTGATTCATAACACGCGGTTACTAAACTTTCACTATTCATAAAGGTTGTTGTTTTACACATTTACCTCTTCACTCGTTGCCAGTGATGAAAGGGAGTCTGATGTGCTCGTCGTTTTGCTGGAGGTTCAACGATCTGATAAAGCATTTCTTCAAAAATTGTGCTCCAAGGAATTTTTTACCCTAATGACCATTCATTGGCAAGACCTTACTCCAACACAAAAACACCGCTTGCTTGCAATTATTTAGGTATATACTGCCCCTTATTGTCAGGGAAAATAGGCACCATCCTTTTTAAGGTACCCTAGAACAGCTTCGACGGTACAGACAAGTTTAAAAACCCAAAATTGGCTTCATTGAAGGACTGGAATGATCAGTTTAAAGACTGAAGGCAGAGAGGAAAATTATCTCAGCCTGACCCAAACAAATTCTTGTTATCTGAATCTGACGCCCTGGTAGCCTTGAGTGGCGAGCAAATAAAACCCCCATGAAGGAACAGATGCTGTGAAAACCCTGATAAATGGCCAAACACAGTCCAATTATACAGCCCTACAAAGGAAATACAGGTTTGCCCTAGGACATGATTATTAAAAGAGCAGCTTATTGGCTGGTTTACCCTAATGGCTGTATAGCTGCCTAAAGCAGTAAACACTGCTACAGGGTGCGCGTTTCCTGTTGGACCAGGTGTGTGCAGCTAGTGTCGGGGTGCGGGGTTAGGTTATAGTGGTGGTAGGGGGTCAGGGACAAGGAAATACAAGCTGTGGGTCTATCTGGCATTCATTCATAGACCGGATATTTCCAGTACATCCTGGAACGTGAGAGGTGTTCTGACATTATTCTGTGTTGATTTCCTCATGTCCAACAAGGGTCATAGCGTTAACTCGCACTAGCAGTAGCTAACACAAGCATTAGCAGAAGCTCACACTAGCGTTAGCAGTAGCTTACACTAGCATTAGCAGTAGCTCGGCCTAGCATTGTTCTGCTGTTAGCATTTCCGTGACTAAGGTTTATATGTTGCAGACATTAAAGTAGGTTGGGACATGCATGTGTAAGGTGGTGTATGATGTGTTAAATCGGGTTTTTCTCTGAATAAAAAGTTTTTCAGCTTCCGTTGCAACATTACTAATTTACATAGCAGGTCGGAGATGGCACAGGCGTTTTGGTATGCTACATTACATACCCCAAACTGCCTTTATCCAACAACAACAAGGTAAATGTGGTTTTACATTCTAGGACACATTTAAACTGATCAGAGGATTTATGGTTACAGACTATTAAAAAATAAATAAACAGCACAGAATCAAAGTTGTATCAGAGGTTGTTCACTCAAAGAAGCTACCGAAGCAAAGGCAACATAAAACTGTTTTTACAAATCCAAGAGCAACGGGCATGAAAGCAAACCAAGGTTTTTGGGTGAAATCTGCAAGAGAAAATTGCTAGACCTTGGCAAATAGCAGCAGCACGAATGAGAAAGCCTGAATGAGCTTTGAGATGATGGAAAGCGTTGGTCTGACTTGAAGGTGATATTTTCACAAATCTGATGGGCAGACATTTCTTCCTATTTAACAGAAATTCCTGGACCTATTACTCAAGAAAAATAAAAGGCTTTAAAAGTCTGGAGACCTACGATTATTTTGTTTGAGGAAAAGGTGAGCCGATCTCTTCTGAAAACAGAAAGCGGTGGTTGTGCTAAAGGCAGGAGTCAGCTCCGAGAGCTGAGTCACAACGTTATTTACCCGTGGGTGATTGCCAAAAACACGGATAAGTACTCACTGCTACTGCAAAACTGGGAAAGTCCTCATTAATCAGTGTCCTTGTTTATTTATTATGGTTAGTGAGGGTTTAGACACTTGAACGAGAATGCTAAAACAAAACTACTCACTAAGATTAATGTTTTTAAAGACATCTTCTCTAATTAGTGTGTAAGATCCCTTAATGAATAAAAGAATCTTAGAATCTTCTGACTAAAACAATAAGACCAAGCAGGTGACATTCTAGTTAAATAGAGTATCACCAACTATTGGTCGCAAGTAGTGGTAAAAATATAAATAGCTTTTCAAGCTATTTACTTAACCCAGTTTACCCTCTATTACCATTACAACAGATAGTCACAAGAACTTGGCATGAACTAAATGAGCCTCACAAACTGCTGCTGCAGGAATCCAGGTTTTCCTCAGAGGGTTGCCGTAATGAATGAGATATGTAGAGTACCCAAAGGTCAAGTTTTCATCAAAACGGCCAGAAATTAACTTTTAATTTGCAGACAAACACCCCATCTTTCTGCACTCCAAACAAAAAAGCACTGCACAAGACTTGTTACCAAACAAGGAAGCCATAACATCTTTGCTCAAGGTCTCATGCGGAAGACGAGACTTCTGCACTTTCCCTCTGAATAAAGTTCATCTTTCTTGAATCATAAATGACTTTACAACTTTATAGGTTGATAAGATCAAATGTGTTGAATGGACAAGATGTTAAAATCTCAAAGTTTTTGAATATTCTGTGCATTAATGAATGATGTGTTAAATTGAATAGTTTTCCTGTAATGATTCATTTCAGATCTTAAACTGCACCAGAACAGTATTTGTTGATTTAACAAGTTTATCTATCAGTATACTCATACACGTGATAATAAGATTATCATTAATGTCGAACATTTTTGCTTCACATAAATGTTATAACATTTGTACTTCACATCTTAGTGTTAACCCACCAAAGTTAACCCCTCCGAGTATCTGACTGAAGACGTGACTTCTGAGGTATTTTGGTAATGCCATGTAAACGTGTCAAATTCTGATTGGTCTAGAATTTGTAAACATCATTTAATATATACAGGAATTACTTCCTGATCTAGTCAGTTCTTCCGCTGCATCCTGGTTTTGGCCAACCAGTGATCAAGCATTTTGAAACCATCCTAAACAGATTGTACCACCCAGATTCCACAATCTCTCTCAGATACTTGAAAGGCTTTGCTAAAACATCTAGCTAACATCCCATCATTCTATTCATCACCTGTGATCTATACAACTATAACTTCATTCATACTTTGTCTTCTTGCAAAGGCTTACGTCTCGGCCGCTCCGGTCATCACAGGATCGTCGGCTAGCAGTGCCTACACCACGCTCAGGACAATCCAGAGTCTTCTCATGCATTGTTCCACAAATGTGGAATGACCTACCAAGCACTACCAGAACAGCGGCTTCCTTTTCAATTTTCAAGAAACTCCTGAAGACCCTGCTCTTCAGAGAGCATCTTCTAAACTAGCACCCTCCCTGCACCCGTCCCCCCTCTCTACTGTCCACTCCTTGTTCCCTCCTCTCCATGATTCATCAAGCTGACTCACTGCCACCTACGACTGACTGGAAATTGTTTGTTGTTGTTGTTGTTAGCCTCAAGGGCAACATGCCGATTATCACTTGTAAGTCGCTTTGGACAAAGCGTCTGCTAAATACATAAACATAAACAAATAGTGGCATTGGACTATTTTCATGTCCAGCCTTCCTATGAAACTCAGAGTGAGTTTATTATAGGTTTCTCGGCAAAAGGCACGTTTAAGGACTTGATATTCAGAAACACAACACCTAAGAATTAAAGACATAAAGCGTAACTATGTCTGTTTGGATACAATTAAGAAGAAACCAAAAGATGACTGTACATCAAGGGTAGTTGACTCCCTTCCCCGAGGGACGCTATCCAGCATGTTTTAGTTGTTTCCCCATTCCAACACACTTCATTCACATGTTAAGCAATTAGCCAAACTCTGCAGAAGTCTGTTTATCACCCCCTAAATAGTCAGGTGTCTTGAAGCAGGCAAAACACTAAAACATGCTGATACCAGCCGCTGGGGAAGGGAGCTGACTTCCTCCAAAAATCCTGCTCTAACACTGTACCCCCTCACCTCACCCGTCTCATTAAGGGTTAAGGTTGGTTTATGCTTGACGTGTCCGCGAGGTCCGCGCGGAAAAGTTTCGTCATTTTAACAACCACGCTACGCACACCTCGGAAAATTTCTAACCACGCGGACGGACGGACGCGAAAAAACATGGCGGACCGGCAAGAACTAGTATAGCAGAGGTTCGTAAATACAGACATTTGTATGATTCAGCTCTCAAAGATCACCGTGATCAACATGTTGTTAATAATTCTTGGAGAGAAATAGCCCGCACTGTCGGAAAAGACGAGGACGCTGTTAAAAATGCAGGAATGCCGTGTTGTAAACAGTAATTTCTACTTCTACTGTGACGTAGTGTTGGGTGCATGCCGTAGAGCTCCATACTGCCCCGTTCAGTTTGGGAGAATATTGACTCACGGCAGAGATGAGCCACATGAACCATAAACGCTGAGTTGTGAAGCGCGTTCCATCCGCGAGCCGCATCACCGCGCGGAAAGTGAATGCGTCAAGCATAAACCAAGCTTTAGTTGGAGTGGATTTTCCCTCAAAGGAAATGTTTGCACATTTTGCAGATGGTTACCTTTTCTGGCCTTGGGTTGTGTCCTTTTCCTTTTTTAATGGCTTTTTAAATAAAACATTAAACTCAATGGCCATCATAAAATGATTCATCTCAACTCCTACACCCCCTGACATTATAGTGATTTACTGTCCTTTTCATCTCCACTAGATATTTCGCTCAGTTATTGGCTGGAGAATCCCTAATAAACTTCACGTTTGTCGGAGATTTATGGCTTTCCTATGGCAAAATGCTCTTAATGAAGTGAAGCATTGATTAGGCAGCTATGCAAAAAGGTAATTCAGAGTAGAATAAACTAAAACATTTGTCTTTAGCAGTGGGAATATTCTCTTTCCTACCTGTCTGAAGCGCTTCAGGTGGAGGATGAGGATGTCGGGGAGCGTCCACAGACTCATCTTCACCATGCCCTGCTGAAGCTGCTTACAGTGAGGACACTTCCAGGCATCATCTGGAGCGAGCTGGAATCGGCACATTCAACAGTCAGCAAAGAAGAAACACGAAACCTTCAGCGCAACTTTTTAATCGCGGGACATGACCTCATCAACCACCTTTGGCCTTTCTACAGAGAGCCGTAATATCAGTGTTTAAAGAACCTATCTGGATGTTCAGCTATACTGATCAAGTCACCCTGATTAAAGATGGCTGCCACAGCTAATAAACAATAACAAATATCAAAAGACGCTAAAACAGCCAGTTTTACACACGCTGATCTAAACGTCGGTGTTGTAGAAGCTGAGTCAACCCTAACACACCCTTGGAGCTCCAGACATATTTGCATCAACTGGTTGTATCAATCTTCATTATAAATACTTAATGAATTATAAGATAGATTTAAATGAAACCCTCACGAAAACTCAACTCATGTAGGCCGTCACAAACTTTGAAGTTTAGGCTTGCTTTGAGCACCCCGTAATGTCCATTTTAACTCACCGTCGTAAAAACTAAACTGAAACTCTCCTAATGTCGTAATCTAACAGCTGAAATGTCTTCTCAGCCTTCATTAGTGTCTACAGGAGTGATTCACCACGAAATTAAACTAATCAGCTGTGTTCATGATCTAAAACATGCAAGACTCGTGTCTCTGAGCACTTGTGGTTCAGAAAATGCTTATCGACTCTGGTTTGACTCCTATTGTGGTCAGATGTTCATTTTTTTTTCATTTTTAGCTCCGGAAAATAAATGTTTTCTTTGCTTCTTCTAAGGCTCCACAATGATTAACACTTTACAATAAATGCTAACCAGCTATAGCTCGTGCGAACCTGGATTGCTGCAACGTGCGACTCTGTGAGACTTCAGGGGAGCGCCACCTGAAGTTGTAAACGGGGTCTCCTGCTCACAAGGGGCAGAGAGACTTCACTTACCCTAGAGCAGGGGTGCCCAATCCTGGTCCTGGAGGGCTGGCATCCAGCAGGTTTTGTGGTTTTTCTGCTCCAACACACTTGATTAACTGGCTGAATCACCTTTGCAGCATCTCATCAGGCTCTGCAGAAGCCTGCTAATCACCTACTGATTGAAATCAGGTGTGTTGAAGGAGTTAAAACTAAAACAAGCTGGATACCGGCCCTCGAGGACCAGGATTGGGCACCCCTGCCCTAGAGGCTCATTTTAGCACATACTGGCTCAAGAAAAGGCTCTAAACATATGAAATATGTGCTTAGTGTGCATTCACTTTAGAAAACTAAGAAATATCTACAAATATGGAGATAAATTTTAGAGAGACTACAAGCAACATCCACATTTTGGAGCTTTTGACCATGTTCTATTGTCATTTCCTCATGAAAAACATCCCCATAGCGGGTCATTCCAAAGACTTTAAAAATGGGACCCAGAGCCTCCCTGCTTGACACTCAGCTTTAAGGGGCTGGATTGGGGGGTTAAAACCACCAAACCGTTCCAGAGCGCGGCCACAGCTGCAGCTCACCGCTCCTCTCGGGGATGGGTCAGATGCAGAGATGTCATTTCACCGGTGTGACGACTAGGACTTTTAGGCTTTTTGAATGCATGTTCCTTCGTCAGCTGCTTCTTCCCTTCAGCTCTGCAAATCTTTGCTAAGCTAATGCAAATGGCTGGAAGGGGTTATTGTTAATATATGACATCTTAACAGTGCCACTGGTAATATTTAATCATATATTGTGCCTTGTGTTGCGCTGGAAGGTGTGATACGGCCGCTTTAAGGTAGCTGAATCAAGTGCTTGTAGACTTTGCAGGATTTTTGGGACACTGATGCATCTAATGGTATTTTCAAAATCTTAGTAAAAAGGCTAAGAATCCATCATTTCTCAGCCTACAACAGGCAGTAGGATAGGGTATTAGTTAACAATTCACCCATAAAAACTCTGAACTGGATCACCTATGAACAAGTAAATGAACATTTTAGTAATGTTTGTGAGCGAAGAGTATACATACATCATCCAGAAGGTTCCGCTGCCTTGCTGCAGCTTTATTATTTACTGTTTAGGGTGAGGACAGCAGGGAGTGTGGTGCATAGAGAAACTTCACCAAGCTGACTACTTGGCACGTCAGCTACATTACACGGGTAGTGTCTTTATCAATGCAACTCTTATAAATTAAGTCAGCTAAACCTTTTAACAAACACAGATGATTTTGTTACTCTCTCCACTGCTGGAGCTTATAAACAGCTTCAAAAGGACTTTATACAATTACAACAAGCAGGAATGTATCACCCTCCTAGAAAACCAAGAAATTGGACTGGCTTCTTCATGATTTTTAAACAAACTAAAGAGAAGAAGCAAATGAAAGAGAAAGTCAAGAGTCTGTAATCTCTAATGCTCCTGCAGAAGGCTGCTATCTTCTCAGCTCCATTGAAAAGCTTCAGCAACCTAAGAGGGCTGTTGTCGACATGAGAACTCATTTGGCTGTGTTCTGAGGAAAGACATGATTGCTCCATGTGGTTATGTGCTATATGCACAATATCTGTGAGTGAGTCGATAAAGAAAAGCCAGAGATGTTGCTGCAAAAACCTGAACATCTCATTTTCTAACCACCACTCAAGTCTTCTCCTCTCCCGTCTTTGTCCTTTCACTTTTGTTGATTGTAAGGCATAAAGCAGACTGCAGTTTATGCAATAACAGCTCTTTGAGAAGATTGTTCATCTCTAGTTGGTGACGTCCTATTTAACCTTGTTGTCTTGTTACAATTCAGCAAACTATATTTTTTGTGGCGTTGCTGAAAGAAAGGCTGCATGTTGTTTCATTGCTGCTTTTGGAGCAAGAAGGTTGCAGGTGACCATGCAGGGTTACGATGGGCTCTTCATGCATGTGTGGGTCTTCTTCAGTTACTGTGGTTTCCTCCCACAGACCAAAAACATGCATGTCTGGTAAACTAGACACTCCACAGGCCCTTTTCCATGATCACCTACTTGGCGCGGCTCAACTTGGCTCTGCACCATTCCGAGGCTTATCCACTAGTAACAGGTATTTAGTTGCCACCCATTTTTTTACAGTCACATTTGATATAGTTGCATGCATACTGTACTGAACCAAAAATGTGACATCAGAAGAAAGTCGTCACTGATTGGCTAAGGGGTGGAGTATCCCACACTCTCCTGTCATCCCAAGAGGGGTTCACCTTGCTGCCTGCAGCCTTTTCTGGGTCTCTGGTTTAAAGTCTAATAAAGGTACAGACTAAGTAGAATTTCCAATATCAGTTACTAGGGGTGCAACAGATCATCGTTTATCTGCGATCGGTGTGGATCTCTCTCTACGGTTCGGCACAAAAGTGGTTGGATTGGCCATGTGGGGGGCCAAGGCGCCTCCTGTTTAATCTAAATGAGAAAAGCACTGGAGTGGTCATGGCGGAGGAAGAGAGCAGCTTGTAACACCACCTGCATCATATGAGTCACATGAATGGGAGCATTTTGGCTTCCCTGTAAAAACAATAATACAAATGGCAAAAATGAACACAAACACACACACTCAAACACACACACACACACACATGCTAATGTCTTAGCCAATAGCAATGGCAGATTTCAATTCAAAAGAAAAGAGCAGAAACATGTAGCACTAAGTTTTCTAAAAAATAAAGAGAGCAAATTTCATTTTCTTTTCTTTCGGCTGATCCAAAAAATGATCCAATCCGTGACTCAGAACCGTGATGTGATCCGAACCGTGAGTTTTTTGATCCATTGCACAACTTGTCATTACTGTGTCCTCCACTGTAGCATTCTAGTTTTTATGTCGAATACAGATCATCTCGCACTACTTTTCAAATTCTGGGGTACCCCTGATACTGAGAGCCCTCCCACTCCATTTGTCAGTTATAATAGGAAACCCAGAGACTCTTGTGAAACATAGGCAGTTAAAATGAATGAATGAATAAATGGATGGATGAATAATTAAGAAAGACAGAAAAAAAGAAAAAAGAAAGACAGAAAGAAATAAAGAAAGAAAGACAGAAAGAAAGAAAAGGAAAGAAAAAATAAAGAAGATAAAGAAAGAAAGAAAGAAAGAAAGACAAAAAGAAACAAAAGAAAAAAGAAAGAAAGAAAAAAGAAAAAGATTAAAGAAAAAAGAAAAGAAGAAAAAAAAACAAGTCATAAAAAAGTAGAAAGAAAGAAAGATAGAAAAAGAAAGAATGAAAAAAGAAAAAGAAAAATAATAAGAAAAAAGATAAAAGAAAAAAACCCACTTGTCATTACTGTGTCCTCCACTGTAGCGTTGTAGTTTTTATGTCGCATACAGATCACCCCGCGTTACGTTTCAAATTCTGGGGGCTACCCTGATAGGGAGAGCCCTCCTACTAGATCACTTTGTCAGTTATTATGGAACACCCAGAGACTCTGGTGAAACATAGGCAGTTAAGATGAATGAATGAATGAATGAATGAATGAATGAATGAATAAATGGATAGATGGATGAAGAAAGAAAGAAAGAAAGAAAGAAAGAAAGAAAAAGAAAGAAAAAAGAAAGAAAAAAAAAGAAAAAAGAAAAAGAAAGAAAGAAAGAAAGAAAGAAAGAAAGAAAGAAAGAAAGAAAAAGAAAGAAAAAAGAAAGAAAAAAGAAAAAAAGAAAAAAGAAAAAGAAAGAAAAAAGGAAAGAAAGAAAGAAAGAAAGAAAGAACCGCCAGACCAACACAATAAGTCATGTATGGTAGAATGGAGGTGAAGTACAAGATGTATAATGATGGACTACTTTAAGAAATATTTTACTTTAAAGAGTAATGAAATTGATTTAGACTTTTTTGAATTTACATATTTGATATGTCTCTTCCAACTCAAGTTTTTCACCTATCATTAGACCAAGGAGTTTGATTTCAGCCACTAGTTCAATTTCTATATCGTTTATCGGGAGTTTCTTATTAGTAATGGTTGATCTATTGCTGATTCTATCTATCATATATACTTTATTTAAATTCAGTGTTAATTTTTTACGGTCGAACTAATCCTTCAGTTTATTAAGTTCATCACCAATTGTATCCAGAAGCTCCCCCAAGTCGT